TTATATTATGTATATATATATATATATATATATATATAAATAATGTGTGTGTGTGTGTGTGTGTATGGTTCTTTAAAGATACATGAAGTAACGGTTCTATTTAGAACCGTAGCATCCTGAAGAACCCCTTTATGCTGAAATGGTTCTTTGTGTTAGAGTTTAGAGTTCTTTATTCTCGCCTTTTTGTTTTTCAAATCTGTTATTGCTGAAGCAGCTCATTACTGATTCTCTGGGGCTCAGTGATCCAACTACACTGACTGTCAACACACTCTCAACAGGTAACAAACATGTTCTTTTCTCTTTTTAATTTTTTTTGGTCACAGGTAAGTGTGAGCAGCTCTGTGCAGTTAAGGATACTTCTCTCCTCTTCTCCACTAAGTAAGTAACAGAAATATTGAATTGTTAGATTTTTTTTAATCATTACTTGGGTTTAAGCATAAACATACCCAGTCACAAAAAACATTAAAGCTATGATGCCATTACTTTATATCACTTTTTCCTTTTAACATTGTGAAGAGCTGAATACTGTTTATTTTTTCTGCTTTTGGCCTTCATGAACATAATTGTTTTTACACAAACACATGGAAGAGACATACTGTAACTTTAAACTCGATTGTGTATTGCATCCCTCAACCTCATCATCTGCAGAGAGAAAATGCCACTCAATCGCACCAAAATGATGGACTTAAAGGCATCATAAAGGATTGTAAAAATATTTAACTAGAACTCAGTCTTCATCACATCTATTTTCTGTTTCTAGTTTGTGTTTTACTTCATGTATTTATTCATGTTCATTGTCAATTGTCATTTATTAATATACTCAGCTAATACCTGTTGTTAAGAGCACTGACATTTCTTGCTACAATTTCACGTCAATAAAAAGTACCTAATTGACACAACATGCTGTTGTTGTTTTTGTTTTAATGTAAACCACTAATGGAGGCTACAAGATATTAGATAGAGGGGTAAAAAACAATTTTAATCAATAATATTAATAATGCTAATATTAATGATATAAATATACTAATATTCCTATAGGTTCTATATAGCACTTTCAAAGCATGGTTCTTTATGGAACCTTATTAAAAGGGTTCTATTTAGCACCAAAAATGGTTCTGCTATTGCTAAAGAACCCTTTTCTGGTACTGTTTAGAACCATTTTTCTTGCAAAAAGTCATATAGGTTTGAAATGACGTGAGGGTGAATAAATGATGACAGAATTGTCATTATTATTTTAATATTATTTCAAAATGTCATATTGAAATATGATTTCTAAATGTGGTTAATGTTATATTCTGTAACATACTAACATATAAATATTCAATAACACATGGTAATATGTTATAGAAATATAAAGTGTTTTTATGTCATGAATTTTAAAACAAATAGTTTTTTTAATAATTAAAAAAACAATAAAATTAATGTAATTATCTTTAATTAAAATATTTGCTTTATATTCTGCAGAATAAATAAAGTCATGCAGATTTGAAACTAAATGAGGGTGAGTAAATGATGAGAGAATTTACATTATTGCTTTAAAGGAACACATATAAACATACAGGTCTTCACCAGGACCGTATAAGCATAGGTTTTGATGTTTCAAACAAAGCCTTAGAATGGGTTCATAAGCCATTGTTTAACAAGTACTATATATAAGTAACACTTTGTAAATTTACAAAGCTAATGATTGTCCTGTTGGCTCTCTGGATTATTTTGTAGAATAAACATGAATCAATGACTTAAGCCTTGAAACATTGCATTGATACCGACTTGAAGAGCCAACAATATAGTATTTATAACCAACCTTTTGACATTTTTTCCTTGTAGGTGTTGAGATCATGCAGACATAATGTCCCATAAAACATGCTGATGTGATATTAAGTGGTCCAGTTATGTTCAGATTATCACATTCTGATCCACGACTCTCATTGAGAATCAAAATCATTGACAGTTCAGCTGAAAATCATTGACAGTTTCGAAGAGCGCTGTTGAGAGATGATTTCTAGGCATTAACTTCAGAAGCATTGCACAAAGGTTCATGAAACGGGAGGAATGAAGGAATATAAAAGCGGGAAATGATCTATTCTGTGATCTGTCACCTAAGCAAATGATCTGAAACCCACTGAAAGAAACTTCTAGACACCAGGACTCAAAGAACTACAGCTGTGATTGGAATTGGTTGGAGATTTTCACGCTATGTTAATTGAAGAGCATATATTAACACTTTTCAGAAGGAACTGTCAATATACACTGACATACTGGAGTGTGTTCTTCAGCTTTGGACTGAGCATAGCCTTTCTGGGGCCTACGATCCTAGATCTGAAATGCCAGACTGGCTCCACGTTACAGGAGATCACCTGGGTGTTCTTCTCCCAGCAGCTCTGCCTGCTCATAGGCACCTCGACTGGAGGAGTTTTCACAAAAACGTGAGTCTCTGCTGGAAAAGAGTCCACTAAAGATGGACATCTTGCAGGTGACCGTGATTTCACCAAGTACAACATGTTCCTGGATCAACAACCTTGTTGATCCTGGAAACAACATTCCAATTAACCAATCAGAATTGAGGGATAGCTTTTCAGGAAATATCTGTTTTAGGCTTACGATCAGGGTTAGGTGCGTCTACACCCTTGTTAATCAGCTATCATTTCACACTGATTTTAGGAATAAATGATGGGTAGGGTTAGGTTTAGGGGTAGGGATTGGGTTTAGTCTATATTTTTGGACAGTAATGTTGATCCTGGATCAACAAAAGATGTTTACCATTTGGTGTGAAAAATGTCATTTTAATTGTAATTTTTCTTCATTCATAAAAATATGTTTTTTATTTTTATCATTGTTGTTATTATTATTATAAACAAATAAAAATAAAATACAAAAATAAAAATGACTAAATAAAAACAGTATATAAATCACCCATCACTTTTGTAATATTTGACTGTAAAATAAAAGATTTAAGAAAAATATTTAAGTATAATATTTAATATTTATTTAAGTCTTAATATCTCCATTTTCAAATGTTAAACCTTCAGACTTTTATTTGGATGGGAAAAAAGCAGGGAGACTGCTCTTTTATATGTAAGAACACAGTGCTGCGCTTCGCTCTGAAAAATGCAAAGCATATCTTTATTTTGATTAATCGTGCAGCACTACTTCTGACTAGCTGTCAGACACATGAAAGCACATAAATAAGATACAATTTAAGACTCTCCATGAAGTGCAGATGAACATCATGTTGTGGTATATCAAATGGTGTGCTCAGTGCTCACTAAGCTGTCTTGATACCGATATTAAACATGAAACAAAACAAGTTTGAAATAAACATGTTAGAGATAATTAACAGATCCAAGCTGTTTTCCTTGTGTTCTCAGGTTGTTCAGGGCCCTCATCGCTCTCTTCTTCTCCTCCCTCATCATCTCTGTGGTTTTTGCCATCATCCCACTTTGCTATAATGTGCTGTTGCTGGCGGTTGCTATGGCAGTGTCAGGCCTGGCGATGGGCATCATCGACACTATTGCAAACATCCAACTGGTGTCCATTTATAAGAAAGACTCTGCTATCTTTCTACAGGTGAGGAAAGACATTTGTCTTCATATATCTCACTCAGGAGAGGTGCTAGTCCATACATACATTTACAGGGTTTATTTCAACTAGTTGTATTGGTATGAAAGGGTGTTTGTTTTATTTTACTTGTTTGTTGGTCAGTGATGGTCCTGTATAGTAGAAAAAGATGTAGCATAATTCAAATGGAATTATTTGAAAAGAAAACAAGACATGTAAGAAAGTGTCTAAAACCTCACAAGGAGGTGCTCCTGGTCAAATTCTACACCCCAAAAAATAAAAAAAAAATAATAATGTTTTTCGAAAAGAACAGAAAATCTATCTCCTCCTGTCCTCGTCCTGTTAATATTTAATTACAGAATAAAGTAGTAAATAAATAAATAAAAACCTCAATCTCAGTCTACCTCCAAATTTTCATTATTGTAATGCAAAATACAGTGTCTTATATCTTATATAATAAGAATTATCTTAAAAGAACAGAAATACTAAATGCATACTGAAAATTGTGGTGATGTGGTTAATTGTCCTAGTATAAATGTCACAAAATAAAAAAATAGTACCATATTTTTACATTTTTTAATGAAAATATGCTTTTTTTTTTTCTTTTGGTTTTAGGGAGGGGAATGCAGTTTGGATAGGGGCATTAGTTTATAAATAATTTGATTAAATTAACACCTTAAACTGACAGCTTTAAATGGAGTCTCTTGTCTGTGTCTTCACTTTCTTTTCAGGCACTGCACTTCTTCATTGGGCTCGGTGCTCTGGTGAGCCCCCTGATTGCAGACCCTTTCATATCAGAGCACTGCCTGGCCAGTAATAGCACAGAAAATGCCACAGAGATAATTCACCACTTCAGATCCAGCTTCAGGTCACCTGTAATCCACACTGAAAATTCCCCGCACTCAGAGCCGGTGGAGGAGAAGGCCAACGTGGCATACGCCTTCTGGATCATGGCTCTCATAAATGTAAGCTGATGCATAGCCTTGTGTGTGGTGTAGAAAAGGTCTTGGATCTCTGAGATCGCAGTGTTTTTCTCTCCTAGTTGCCTGTGCCGATTGCGGTTTTTGTGTTGATGTACCAAGAGAAGCTGCTCCCCTTCTGCCCAAACAGCACACGACTGTTGGACAAAGATGAGCTGGCCATGGAGACTAAAGCACCAGAAGGCACAGAAATGTCTGAACCAGACGATACAGGTACAAGTGAACAGCAGTATAAATTTAACGTAATTTATTCCTGGGATGGCAAAGCTGCAGTCATTACTCCAGTCTTCAGTGTCACATGATCCTTCAGAAATCATTCTAATATGCTGATTTGCTGCTCAAGAAACATTTATTATTATTATTATCAATGTTGAGAACAATTTAAATGTTTTTGTGGAAACCCTTTTTTTCAGGATTCTGTGATTAATAGAAAGTTTAAAAGAACAGCATTTATTTGAAATAGAATTATTTTGTAAACAGTAAAAATGTCTTTACTGTCCCTTTTGATCAATTTATTGCATTCCTGATTAATACAATTATTAATTTATTTCAAAAACATTTCTAGACCCTTTTAAACTTTCAAACAGTAGTGTAGATGATTGAAAGTAACATTTAAAACCATTTATGCAATCAAACTTCTGACTCAAAACATTGTAGTTATTGAGGTACGGCTTTTTGTTCCCTTTTTTTATTATGGTCCCCTTAGGTTTTCATCATGCAGGACATGGAAACATCTTCAGCTGCTGTATGAATGGAAGCCTGAGTGGGTTACCAGTCACGTTTTTTGGTATCCACATCTTAGGCAGTATGTTGCTGTTCATGACGGAAGGCATTATGGTGAGTGAGCTCAATGAGGCTAATTATTTTTATGAATATTTTTGAGAACTTCAAGTTAATATTCCTGACTACTGAACCTCACTTTTAGGGGGTCTATGCCGGTTTTGTTTACACGTATGCTGTTTCAGCTCCCATGTTGCTGCACTCTAAAATGGCAGCATACCTGAACTGTATCTTCTGGGCAGCCGTCACTGCTGGACGACTGGTGTCCATCCCGCTATCATACCGATTCAGACCTGTGCATCTGCTTGGCGTGAACCTGGTAATCTCTTATGAAACACTGTAATACAGTATAGCTGATTATCACTATTTAGAGAGCACACATTCACCCAAACTACCTGTACGTTTTTACCATCTGTAACGAATCAATCCACTGAAGGCGAGTTGAAGTGCGAACCCAAGTGCAGTTTATTTACAGTGTGATCCAAGAAGGAGAGTTGAAGTGAGAACCCAAGTGCAGTTTATTTACAAGTGATCCAAACATCCAAACAATAATCTGAGACTTGACATGAACAGACTTGACGAGGCATGAACAGACTTGACTTGAACAGACTTGACATGGCATGAACAGACTAGACTCACCGACAGCGGGTTGCAACATGACCAAGACTATGGGAACATAGGTTCTGCAGCGGATTCATGCACAGGAAAGGCTCTTGGTGCAGACTCATGGATAGGAAAGGCCTCAGGGACAGACTCATAGGCAGGAGAGGCCACTGGGGCAGATTCATGGACAGGAGAGGCCTCCAGGGCAGATTCATGGACAGGAGAGGCCTCCAGGGCAGATTCATGGACAGGAGAGGCCTCC